TTCGAACTCGACTGAGGTATTGTCAAGACTAAGCTGTGTAGAAAGTTTCATTACAATCTGACTCTGCTGTCAAAAGTTATCATGTAAACAGCCAACCGGACGGACGGATACACTGACTATTCTATAGTGTACTTACTTTTTGAGTACACAAAACTATGATTCGATTCAAAACTAATATCAGATTCAGAATCAGCGTTAAAAACTGAGTCGATTTATATATGTTGTGAATAATTCTGAGAAAAAAAGTTTTTTTTGAAAAAATCCCTGTACCCCCCCCCTCAGGGATGGTCTGGTCAAAAATCACAATTTTTTCGATAACTCAGCCATTTCTTGGCGGATCCTTCTCATCTTCGAACTCGACCGAGATATTGTCAAGACTAAGCTGTGTAAAAAATTTCATCGCAATCTGACTCTCCTTTCGAAAGTTATCGTGTAAACGGCCGGCTGGACGGACACACAGACCGATTTTAGTAGTGTACTCACTTTTTGAGTACACTAAAAAAAGAATAATGTAATTTGTTTGTGAAACATGGTTATAAAGAATGTGGATGTAAACGAAAATATTTTGTGTACTCTCACTGATACTATCGCCCACGTATCCACCTACTTTCAATAATCCTTTAAGACTAATATGCCATCGTGCTAACACCAGATGTGAAGCTTCCTTCCTTCTCTTAGAAACTAGATCGTGTTTTTATATTTTAATCCCTCAAGAATTGAGCTAACAGCTTTTGTAATCAAGATCTAATGAATGAAAATCTAATTTTGTGTTTGTTGAAATAGAATAAAAAGATATGATTATGAATAAAATTAGAATTTAGCCTGCAGGTCGAGAAGAATATTATCAATAGTATTTTTTTTACCTCAGATAAATTTTAGAATCATTTGTCTATTATTTATTACCTTCTTGCAATTGAACACTTTGCATCGTCTATAATATCCATGTTTACAAGGTTTATAAAGGACATTCTCTATCGTATATTATTCATAATTTTTAATAAAAAAAAAAAAACAATGTTTCAGAAAAATCAAAGTGATTTTTAGAATGTCAGAAATAATATTGACTCATACTCTAAAGACTTTCACTTTACGAGGAAACATTCTCAATGATTCTATGTTCATAGAACAAAAAATTGAGTATAATCGTCAAGTGAAGACTAGAAAATGAAACCCATACAGACTTTTTTTGTACTACTGATCATGGCCGATCGGATGGTAATGGTCTCAAGCAAAAAATGATTTTCGATTGTTACAATAGGAACATGTATAAACTCTGGAAGACAAATTTATAAAAAAAAGAACAAACTTGTATCACGTTTTGGTTTGTGTTTTTTTTCAGTAGTTGACTTTTCAACAATTGGTTGTGATATATCATCCGTTTTTGTTGGTTTACTAACATTTTCTATTGTCGATTTTTTTCCTGGTGGTCTTTTTATAACAACCGGATCAGTTCTCCATGAATCAGGTGTAATTAAACCTAATACATTTATTAAATCTCAAATAATAATAAAAAAAAGAAAAAGCAAGATTTTTACCTGTTTTAGAATCTGACTGAACATGAGCAGGTTCATGTCGACGAACATGTTTTAATCGTTGTATATCATTTGGTGTAAGAGATGAGTCTTTAGTTTCACGTTTTATAGTTGTAGCACTTGCACTACGTGGTTGTATAGGTCGATTATTTATTAATGAATTATTTTCTTCTATTAAAAAACAAAATTTTTTTTTTTTTATTGAAATTTAATTTATATATTTTTTTTTTTACATACTTGGTATAATTTTAGTAATTTTGCGTGTATTCGGTTGATGAAATTGTTGATGTTCAAAACCATTTGTTAGAATAACATCATTATCTTCGTGTAATGTTCGTGAATGTCTAAGAATATTATCATGGTCGGATGAAAATGATGAATAAAAAGGAGAATTTTGTTCATGATGAGGAGAATAATAAAGATTTTGCATATTAGATGATGAAGAATATGTACGATTAGGACGAGATGATTCAAACATTTGATCACCATTAGATTGTTCAATACGACGTTCTATAAAGAGAAAATATTTTCATTAAAATTTAGATATTTTTTGCTTTTTTTATATTCGAAAATTTGAATAACTAGTTGTTAATTCAATTTCAAATAAAGCCTTAGAAATGTTCTAAGAAATAACTGTTTTTTTTTTGTTGGCTTCACAATCATGTCTAAATTAAGATTAGTTAATGTTAGAATTATTAATGATATTCTATTTAACGGGTGTCCCAGAAAGAATGGACCTCCCAGTATTTTGAAGATTTCTCCTCTATTATCCGTGTGATTAACGCCTCTTTTATTATCAAAAGATAGCGCTTGAAATTCCCTACAAAATCATATATGATTAGGCCTAAACCTGTTTTAAATATATTTGAAAAAAGACGAAAACTAAAGACATACAAACAGCTGTAAAAAGTAAATGTATGATCCATAAGAAATAGCCGCAATTTGCATTTCATATTTTAATCTCTAAATACGTTTTATTAAAAAACAAAATATACTACAAGATGCAGCGTGAAAAGCTCTACAATCTAA